AGCAGCACATAACTTTGGTTTGGGGTGTGCAGAAGAGAAAAGCAATGAGGGAAGGAAGACAAGTATGCACACAGAGATGGCACTAGTATGTGATGAGAGATGAAAGCCATATGAAGTTCTTACCTCCCATAAATCCCAAGGTAAAGACTAAGCATGTCAAAGAGCAACAAAAACAAAACATGTTTATACATGATTATTTCAGTGAGTACAAACATTACAGACGGGTGTGCAGAAGAGAAAAGCAATGAGGGAAGGAAGACAAGTATGCACACAGAGATGGCACTAGTATGTGATGAGAGATGAAAGCCATATGAAGTTCTTACCTCCCATAAATCCCAAGGTAAAGACTAAGCATGTCAAAGAGCAACAAAAACAAAACATGTTTATACATGATTATTTCAGTGAGTACAAACATTACAGACACAAATCAGACTGAAGCAGACATACACATTCAACAGCACATATCTCTGCATGTCTTGAAAATATTAGTACCTGAATCTATACACCCCTCTCCATTCCATATTCAAATCTAAGTACAAAGGCATTTGAGTAAGGGTTTTTTCTATCTCTGGTATGAAGGGAGACAGTCAAGCCACATTCAGTTACCAGTGGCAGACCACATAGGGAAAAAAAAACAAAACAAAACCCAAAACTAAACCAAAATCATGAGGTCATGGTCCATTAGGGTTAAATACGTTCCCATATATCCATGCCCAATAGAGTTAACATGATTTCAGAACAAGACATCAACTAGTGTCTTCAGATCAGTAGTGAAATATCTTAACCTCTTTCCCATGCTGCCCACCCTATGGGAAATAAATCTGACTGCTTTGGTAACTAGGTGGTTTTCACTAGGTTTTGTACTTTGGTTACCATCAGAAAGTATTGATTTAAAATTTTTTCTTTTAAAGACTTCTGAAGCTAATAGTAATTAGATTAGAATACCAAATGTGCTATTGTTGAGCAGTTTTGGAAAACCCACTTAGTGTAATATTTGTGGCTTGCTGCAAAGGTAACAAATAAGTCCATTTTAAGTCAAATTTATACTCATATCCTATGCCAGTATAACCAGTTATCCAACTTATTAACTGCTGATTCATTAAAAAAAAGAATCCTAGTAAATAAACTTGTTTTAAAAGCTTATCTTGGCACGCAGCTTGTTTTGTAAGGCAAGTAGATAAGAAATGCCCATCTGCCCATTCTAAGTTTCAAAAAGGGGTAGCTTGCCATATTGGTGTGTATTAAATTATCTTAGAATCACTGAATCATCAAGGTTGGAAGAGACCTTTAAGATCATCAAGTCCAACCTTCAACCCAGCACTACCACTGTAACCCCTAAATCACTTAAGAATATCACCCAGCACCAGATCCAGATGCCTCTTGAACACCTCCAGGGATGGTGACTCCCTGGGCAATCTATTCCAATGCCTGAAAATAAATAGTATCTTGCAGATACAGTATTTTAATTCAGGTGAATCAGATGCCTAATGTTTCATCTCTCTAATACGAGAGGTCTTGTTCCTACAAAAATCTGTGCCACACAGGCCTACTTGACATGATGATACTGGAGAAATACTGCAAACATCCCAATTCTGTTTATTACAAGTTTCAATGGCATCCACGGGCAAAAAAGTAACCAGTTAATATATATTAAATGGAAAGTCTCAGTGAGGACAGCAATCAAATTCAAGATGCACTTCAAAGCCTCCAGCCATTCATACACAAGTGCAGTCCACCTGCCTCTGACAGTGGACAGGACCAAATACAGGCCAGACCAGAACTAGGCATCTTCCTTTTCAATACCACACTGTGCAGCACTGTGTCCAGGGAGGAAGCTACTTCTTAATTACGAACAGAGACTATGTCATACACAGAAAAAAAAGGGCTTCACATCACTTGAATATCCATCTACAGCTTTATTCACCTTACATAACTGCAGATTATCAAATTGTCTGTTAATTAAAAATCCCTTTAGCAATTTATAGCAGGAGCATAGAACTCAGGCTGAATTCCCACCCACAGAGTAACAGTTTAAATGCATATAGCAGAGGATGCTAACCCAGGGAAGGTCATACATTAAGTTGAACAAGATGTCAGTCAGTAGATCATCAGAGCAAAGCACAAGCATCCCACAACACCTAGTGCCAGACTGTGGCCAGGCTATTAGCTACCTGATTCTCACTGGACTTGCACATCCAGCAGAGAAGACCAAGGTGCCTATCTGCAAGGCCCAGGTCTAGGCACCTACACCCAAGGCCCAGCCACCCACAGCTCAGGTCCACATTATCATTCACATGGGTGCAAGTCATACCACATGTGGCGACAAGTCAGTTATGAAGGGAGAAGGAATGGCAATATAAACCAACCTGGGAGGCGGGTGTGGGGGTCTTCCCCACAGTGGCATCTGGTTTAATGGGATCAAAATCCAGATCCAACAGGCTGGCTCCCTCCTGGAAGGGCCCAGGGGCATCAAACTTGGCAGCGGTGAGGAAGAAAAGCAGTAGGAGCATTAGACACACACGTGCACGCGCTCAGTAGAGGGAGGGTACGTGATATCCCAGAGCTAAGGCTGCAAGCGCAGAAGACATGGTGGCAATGCAAACATCTGAGTTTAGATGACTCCTGACTCCATGGTATCTATAATCATGGGCAGTTCACATGAGTGCCACTGTAAAACAAACCTGAGCCTTTTCCACGGGACTCCTTCATCTTTCCACCTGGCCAATGAGCTGGCATGATGTAAGCATATGACCTGCTGTGGTCAAAAAGATCACTGTCACTGATGAGTCAGAAGGGCTGCTCTCCTATTTTTATCCATTCCCCACAGCTCATCCAGCTGCCTTTGTACTGATGGCCTAAGACTGACTCCCTCAGCTGCATACAAAATTGCTGCCATCCTGATAACCTATCTCAGAAATACAAATCCCAGCAGAAAACCACTCAGACTGCTGGAAGGCAAGTCTGAGAGACCTCAGAGCTAATTCTGAAAGCTCCTAACTTCCTCCTGCCTTCTGACAGAGAAACACAGAATATGGCAGCTTACCCTAGTTATGGGATTTGATTCCCTCCCCATACCAAAAATGCTGTTTTCAATGGTTTCCAATTCTAGGTATCCCAGAAACATAGACAGACAAGTCTTTTAAGAAAGCATAAATTTAAGAAGTTTTACCACTTTCTTCAAAGTGAGCAGAATAACTCCCTTTGACTGATTAACGCTCTACCTAAAGACAGTGATGACACATTTGCTGCTAACCATTAATAAAGCAGTCACTACAAAGGACATAAGCCACTAGTATTCAAAACTGAACCATCACTTTATGGTTTTAGATTTAATCTAACCCCTACAAGACACTCCTTTCTACAGAGTCACAGAGGAATCTGCTCTCTCCAGGAACTCAGGAAGATTTGACACTGTTTCCTCTGACCTCCCAGCTCACCAGCCCTACTGCTTCAGCTACCTTTCCAACACAAAATGTGGCAGGTTGGTCTCCATCAGTTATATTATAGCCCCACACTGGAAAAACTTCTGGAAAGTAGCAAGAGACACCATTAAGAGAACTCCTCTGAATACAACTGACAGCACCATCAATTTCACCTCCGCTAGTTTCCTCTTACTCCAATTCTCTTACAGATTTTTCTCTGCCTTACAAGCATCTCTTTTTGAGATCCACAAGGACAAGGAACAAAGCTCTCTCATCTCACAATAATAAAACCTGACCAGCATGCAAAAAACAAGTGGCATTCTAGTATGCTCTTCCAGCATACCCAGGTCACTCATCAGAGAGGTTCCAACCCAAATCTTCACTTTTTGTTTGGTAGTGAGGCATCAAAGACAGCAGTCATGGAATAGTCTTACCTGCCATTCAAGACGTAAATGCAAGGGCTAGAATCCTTTGATTTTACCCAGATCTCCCACCAGAGAGCTCATTGGAACTAAGACATCTGACAGGAACAGTCCTGGGCAACAAACTGAGTGCTTGCGGCTGTTGGGTACTTCAGTGAAAATTGTTCTGGCAACCAGTCCTCCCTCAGAACTCCCATACAACTGCAAGTCACAGCAATTCCCATCCTGGGTCAGAGCACTGATTGGGGCAGAAGAATGCATCTGCCTAAGGGCTGGCATTCACATGGAAATACATGATACAAGCCATGGGGCAGACAGACTTGTCCATTAAAATACAGGAGAAGGAAGCACAGAAAGTGATAAGAGAGTTGCTCAGCTGCCTGTGGTCCTTGCCTTCCAACATTGATGTTGTATCATCTCTGCACTGCAAGCTTTAGATATTGCAACACAATATCTGAGGTGGACTTCCTTCCCTCCCCATTCCATCTCTGCTCCTAAACAGATGGGTGGAAGGTGGCAAACCAGAGGCAATAGAGCAGCACGAAGCAAGGAGAACTTCGAGAATGAGTCACAGATGAGCACTAATAGAGATATTATTTGTGTTTCAACAAGCATCTAGGGAAAAATATATATATGCATGTATATATTTTTTTTTACAAAACCTAGATGCAGGTATCTCATGATACAGCCAGAAATCTGGTCAGGCTCCTGTATATGTAAGGAGTGTCCTTCTCCTAGATCCAATGCAGAATTCCCCACCTGGGCATCTTCACTGGCAGTGATGTAAATCAAAGGGAAAGTGAAGAGGAAAACAGAATTTGAAAATGGTTTTCCTTTCTCAGGGCTTCAAAAGGTGCCATGTGACAAGAAATATTCTGTCACTCTTCACTAACCACTGGCTGGTGAAGACTGACAGACTGTGTCAGCAGTCCTGACTTCACAGCAGGCACAGTCCTGCCCATCTAACTGCAGGCAGCTATTCTTGTGACGAGAACTTCATGGAATTCCTGTTGGCCTTTCCTGTGCAGGTGTGTGTTTTAAACCACAAAACCCATGTGTCAAGGCATAGAGAGCACAAAACTACCTTCTCCCAGAACTGGCAGAGATGCCAGGGTCAGCAGTTAGGGACATATATGAGCAGAAAAAAACCAAACATGCTATATGGGTCTGAAAAGAGCATGTCATAGGATATAAAGATATGATCCATGTGCATTGCTGCTGAACAAATGCAGTGATTACTTTCTGGGATCTTTACCAGTTGCACTTCTCATATTCTGTGAATGAAAGCTCTCAAAGGGCAATGTGATACTCATGGCTGCCTTCTATAGCCACCCTTCTCTCTTAGTTAGCCTCCTATCTAACCCTTTGCCTTCTGAGGTCCAGTGCTGAGCTTCCTTTCCTCCTTCACCTGACCAGGTTTCATGGCTTGACACCTCCAAAGAGAAGAAAGGTCAAAAGTAAAAGTTCAGAGGCAGACAAAAATTAAGGCAGGGCATAGCAGCTAACCTGCGAAGGGGTTGTCACACTTATCTCGGGGACAAAATTGTCATCAAACAGACTGATGATGTTCTCCTGCTTGATCTCCTTGGAGGGGGTGACTTTTGGAGGCGGAGGCACCGGAGGCCCTTTCCTCAACTGCATGCAAGTGAGCACACGGCCACAGCACAGACGGCGACACCCAAAAAAACCAAAGACAGGAACCAGGTTAGTCACAAAAACTGGAGGTGAGGGAAATCACAACCACTGTCATAGCGCAGGGTCCAGTCAACTCCATCTGAAGAGAGAGGGAGGGAGGGTGAAGGGCTGAATTGAAACAAAACAAAATAAACAACCACACGCCTCCAGAGAAGGTTTGGCATCATTAGTTACACTTCAGCTGTGGGTAAGTTTCTGCGCTGCAGAGGAGAAGCGTAACACAATTAATATGCATCGACAGGACATGCATACATAATTAAAGCATGTGCAACCTTCAAAAGAACCACTGGGAAGGGAGCTGATCAACTACTGAGAACATGAACCAATAGAACAGGCCAGCACAGCCTTCCCCTTTTGCTGTACTTACCATACCTAAGGGAATAAGAGAACAGAGTCAATTTGTCCTGCTTTGGGCAGGAGACCATGAAGACAGACTGATCTGCCCAGTACTGGCTCCCTGGTACACTGGTTATCGGTGTGCTGTAAGAAAGGTCTGAAGGGTCTTGATGGCATCTCAGCTTTAGGCAAAACCAACTCAAACTCCTGAGAAGCCATGACTCATGCAGACCCAGCTCTGCTCTCAGTTTCACCAATGAGCACTGACACTAATGAAGTCATATTTCCCAAATGGAGATCTTGGAGAATGCATAAAACCGTCTGACCCTGTAACTCTAACCAGTCCTGCACAGTCATGCTAAAAGACTCAGCCTGACACTGCATCCATAACCCCGTGAAAGCTGTGGTAAACCCTCCCTAGATCAATCCATCCACATCCTTTTTACATTTTCCTGTGCCCAAGGCTTAATGATAATTTCTAGATCAAATCAGACTTCAAGGAGCTGCTGCTGTGTTGGAACAAATTAGTCACACAAGTTCTGAGCACCACAGCGATGCTCAGCAATGACAATGCTTTTCATTTACAATGAAGTTTTACAGCTACTTCATCTTATGGTACCTAGGATCCCAAGGCAGCAAGACGCAGAGACCTGACATCGTGCACCCAGGATATCAGCGTCAGGCCCAGATCTGAAATACAGAAATCCATGATTCCTAGTCCTGTGTTCACACTCCTCCAGCATATAACTGAGCTCTCCAAGGCATTTATTCTAAGGATATGCCCAGTTTTCTACTGTGTTAACCTACTTTAGAGAGGCTAAGCATGTATGAAAACACACATTTTTCGTCTGAATATCTGGCTTGGAAAAATAATGAAAATAGTGTGTTCAATTCCAACTTTTCACTGTTTGCAGAAGATGGTGTGTTCACATTCCCTGAGTACAACCCCTTCCTGAAAAACCCTGCTTGCCACTTGCAAGATGGAACAAGAAATTTCAGGAAAAGCTATTCTCAGAACAGGGTCACCCTCTGCAGAAATGGAAGGCTCCAATTACTAACTCTAAAGTCAAAAATATCATGACTCTTTTGCTATTTATTTCTTTGATATAGTCAGTCTCCTTCCTTCCAATGCATTAGTGTCTTGGAGACCACCACTTCCACACTGTCCAGCATTACTTCCAACAGCAGTCTAAAACCACATTTCAAAGATAGAAAGATTGCATATTGATGTTGAGTTATACTTGGAAATTCATCTAACAACTTTGCACTAACAATTTTGCTGCCTAGAATAAAACAAATCCTCTAAACCTTTTCTGCTGACTCAGATCCTACAGAGATTTACCTGTCTAAATTTAACATAGTTGCACTGATTTCAAAAGCATCATTACAGCATTTCAGTGGTGTAACCAAGAGCAGAAGTCTGACCTTTGAAGTTTCACAGACCCCCTGAAGTCCTGTGTCATCATCAAATTACTCTGCAGAGAGCTGATAGAAGTCAAGTCCTCCAAAAGACAGAAGTAAGCTGTTTTCAAGAATTAAAGGATAGTAAAAAAACCTATGATTTTGGTACAAGGAACAGTTCAAAATTCAGTTAGCATTTATTTGGTCTCTCCTGTTTTGCTGTCTTTCTTTCCACAGCCTTTGCTTATGGCTTGCATTAGTATTTCAGACACAGAGGCCAGAGAATTGTTCTTGCTTGTTGCTTTTTGCTCCATCCTCCCGCAGAGGGTGAGGCCCCCCAGCCTCCCTCGGAGGACCCTTGAACAACTTACCCATAGGTCAAAAGTAATGATGCCTGTGAAGATTTCAGTATTAAAGTCGAGCACTGTTGAGAGAGCAGACACTTGTGTTTCCCAGCTGGCTGGCAAGCTGACACACACTAGTTTCTAGACTTTATCCATACAAACACCAGGCTTGGCTCTGAATGTAAAACTCCTGCCCTTGTCTTCCCTCCCTCTGGAGCCAGCTCCATCTCTTAGCACCTAGCGTGATTACAGAGTGGAGCTTTGCTCTTCACTTTAGTGATGCCTGGAGCGATGAATTAACTATGGACTGGGAGAGACCTGCCAGGCGATGGCAGCATTAGCTGCAAATACCATTTCACTCTCGCCTGTGGCCCATCCGAGGTTCCAGCCAGGGCTACACTGGAATATTCTGCTTGCTCGACCAGAGGTGCCTCTAGCCCCATTCCTGTGGGCAGGCAGGCAGCACGTGAATGAGAAAGCAGTTGCAGGCTGGCAAAAACAAGGGTTATACGTGCTATTTAAAGAAAAGGGAAGAAGCCAAACTCAGCAAGACAAGCCCACAGGCAGGGTGAGTGATGTCTGCTGTGCACAGCTCAATAAATTTGTATGATTTCTTGTTCCAAATTTTAGTCAAGTTATGGAAATCTCGTGTCAGGGAACCAACCCTGCAACAGAAAGGCAATTCTGGATACACTATCCTCTCTCCACCATACACATAGGTTACTCAAGGTCCTAGACAGGGTGGTGTTGAAGTCAGTCTAGGCTGTGCAATGTTGAGCTGTGCAGAGACCCTGGAAAAGTTCTGAAGAGATGCTGCTAGGCATTCATACATCTCACAGGGCTGGAAAAGACCCTTTTGCCAATGTACAAACTTCCCATTTCTGTCCCTAGATAATCCTAAAAATGAAAAATACAGTGGAGACAAAAATATTGTGAGAGGCTATCCAGAAACATAAGACAGCCTACACCACAGGACTGGATTTGGAATCACACTGCTATGTAAGACAACAGGAAGTAAATGTTTTATTTTCCTTAAATCTCAAAGTAAAATATATCATGTGATGTGCTGAGTAGCTGCATCTACTATTTTGAACAGGCTGCTAGATATCTCCTGTGTAAGGAAAGGCCTAACAAAGGCCATATGGAAGGTCTCAGACTCCATATAATGGACAATCCTTCCAGGAACCCACCTAATTTTTTCATAGCGTAAGAATATAATCCCTTTATTTTTAGCACAATATTTTATCTTGGTAATAAAGTAAAACATCATCCAAAGTACAGATGTTCTCCTTATCAACATCAAACTAACCTTCCTCATCCACAGAAGTTCTTGAGAAGAAAATGGACAATTGAATTCCACAGGTCACTTCAAAGTAAAGAATACACTTTCTCGCCTAGCTACAGCCTCATCCTCCCTGAATCTTCTTGGCCATCCTACCAGACAGCAAAATGTATACTGGCCTTCCCTCTGCAGAGCTATTCAAAGACACTCAGTTCTTCCCTATATGATATATAGAGATGACCAATAAGCAACTTGCATTCCCAGGAACTTTCTCAGGAACCAGTGAAAGAGAAAAACCATCATGTCATACTCGGTGTGCTCAGCAGCAGGATGAGGTCCAAAAAAACAACTGATGGATGTCTTTGACTCACAGAGCTTGTGCCATCAGCAGTCATAGTGCAGAGACATGGTCAATGCCATGGGGACACTACCTGAGACGGTGACTTTGGGATGCTTGCCCCAGGCGCTTCCAAAGCGGATGGTTCCAGCTCATGGTTGACAGTCTTGATCTCAGGGCTGGTGATAGGAGATCCATCTGGTGGAGGTGAGGGGCTTTTATTTGCTTTCGCTGGGGTGCTGTCACTGAAGGAAGTGAAGAAAGAAAGGGAGAGAGAGGGAGAGAGGGGGAAAAGAGAAAGAGAGAAGTCTGAGCCAGGCCTAGGAGGAGTTGTGCTAACCAGCACAGATCAGTGGCCTCCACTATATCTTTGCTTCACTGCCCAGACACATGATGAAGGCGTTTGAAGCCTTGACAGGCTTCTGAGAAGCATCTTTGCCAAGTCACTTGCAGTCCAACACACTGCAGCAGCATTACTTTGCGGCAGACTACTCACTAAATTCCTACAGAATTGATACACCTACCTCAGACACAGAAAACCAAAAACAAAACCAAAACAACCAGGCATCCTTAATTCTGCTAGATTCTACCATAAATGCCTGACATTAAGTTATAGTCCTTAGTATTGGAGAAGCATATGGGGAAAGGACTTCTGTGCAGCTCAGTTTTAAATTCTGCAGATAAGAAGAATTTTTCTGCACAGTGGTCTACTGACACCTGCATGAATTATGACTAGTAGATTTGCAACACCTGAACCAAGGCTGTAATCACAGAATATCGTATTTCTGTCTATGGTACAAACTGGCTATGCTAGAAGGAGGCAAAGTAGCCAGACGTTTCACAGACCTTTCCAAACAGCAGAGAAACAGTGAGTTTCTGGCTACTAATAGACATTTCTCTGTTATGAAAAGTCTCCCCAGTTGGTCTTTATTCCAGGACTGTTTCTGACACACAGTCAAGAGTGATTCTTCAGGGAATTAAGATGCAAGAAGCATATGCCAATGGCATTTGTTGGTTCATAGCTTGAGCAGATTTTTCAAAGGAATGGCAAGAGGCACATGC